AGCCCCAGCCCCGGTCAGCCCCGCGCTCACGGGGCAAACCACCGATGCACGGAGAACCGCTCCGTACCAGACAACCGCCTGGTTTCCACTTTCGGTGTAGCAATTAACAAACTCTAGGAGACACTCAACTCTGATGAAGCAGGCTTTCTGTTGGGTGCCTTTGCCCAGCACAGGCTGATGTGAGTGCTCCGGGCACGGCGACGGTCGGCGAGGGCGAGCTGGGATGTGTGGTGGACAGGTGTGCTCAGGGCACTTGGGACCTCCAGGGCTTCCGCCTGGCCCTGGGTTTGCGGGGACGCAGCCCCGTCGTGAGTTGAGGACGACCTGCATTTCCTCTCTTTACTCCGCAGACCCTGGTGTTTAAACTGTTACCAGTGTTTCTAAAACATTAAAGCCCTGTCTGCAGGGACAGGACAGGCAGGCCTGGAGAAACGAGGCTCCCCGAGGGCTGCCCACCTCCCCATCACCAGCGCGCCTGCAGGCTCCCTTCCCAGCGGAACAGCACCGCCTCCGGGGTGTGACTTTTAACGAGGAGTGAGCCAAGGCAGCTTGGGCTCCTGACAGCTGGTCCCTGGGTCACCTGCCCGAAACCCCGCGCGGTTGCGCGCTCACCTGCAGGGCGCTGAGCGACAGGCCGCGGGTCTGCAGTGTAGGGATGCGCTCGGCCAGGTAGCGAGCCTTCTCGGCCTCCCGCTCCTCGTGCTCCTGCTCCCAGCACTCCTTGGCCTTGGCCAGCATCAGGCTCTGGAAGGGGCAGAGTGGAGAGCGGGCCCGGGCAGCCCCGTGTCTCCCACTCGCTGTCAGTGGCCCCAGACCAGGCAGCCCTGGGCGCGTGTGGACGGGGCCGCCGCTACGTGTGGGGGAGCGTGCTCGGCCACCTGCGACCACACCTGGGTGACCCCATGCACTCTGGGATCCTGGGCTTTAATTTCCCTCAGTTCTCCTCTTAACCACATCTCATCTGTTTGGGCCGAAGGCAGCTCTTACCAATTAAAGCAAACCCACCTCCCCACCAGGGGTTCCCCCCCCCGCGAAGCTGGTCTCCCCTCCTCGCAGGCCCCAGAGGGCGCCAGGATGCCAGATTTCCAAGTTCCAACCCACTGACCCTGGGCTCCGGGCCCTGGCCCTGGCGCCTCCTCCTGCCCCCACCCGCTGCCTCTCCCTGCCCCCTCCCTCCTCCTCCCCGACCATCGTCTCCCTCCTCTTCACCCGCCCACCACCCTCTGCTGCCCTCTGCCTCCCCCTAGACGTCACCACCCCCACCCCGGAGCCAGCACCCCGCTCACCTTCAGCAGGAGTTTGCGGGAGGCGGTGATCTTGGGTTTTCTCTGAGGGGAGAGGGAGGAGAGACAGGTGAGAACCGGGAACCTGGACTGGGCCGCAGTGCCGCTCCCCGCCACAAGGGGCGCTTCGGCGCCACCGCTGAGGACTCCCTTCAATAAACTTAGAGACTCACAGGGCTATAGAGAAACAGCTTATTTGATTCTCACTGAGGCTCTGCGGAGTGTCCCCTCCGTCTGTGCTGCTGATGCCCCCTGCCAGCCCTGAGCCACAGCCTACCCCGTGCAGTCCCCACCCCGACCGCCCAGGGCTGGACGGAGGCTGTGTCCTCAGCAGCTGAACAAATCCGGACTGTATCCAGCCAGCTGAGACCTGGAGAGGAGGCAAGGACCCCCTGTGCTCCTCCCTCAATGTTGGGGGGGGTGGAATAACCCAAGGAGATCCCCTCCCACCCTTCAAATGCGGCTTTCCTGGGACTGGCTCTTAAGGACAAGCACGGCCCCCAGGGCTAGACCGGTCCTCAGACCAGGGGAGGGAGGACTTGCTCCGTGGTCAGCCTGGGTGCAGAGTCACACCCGGCTCTGCCTGGCCGCAGCCCCAGGACCACCCTCCAGGGACATCGTGCCGGGGGAGCCCCCTGCCTGGACCTCGAGGAGCCCTACGTCCAGAGTCTTCCCCCAGGGCTTCTGTTCTCCTGGGAATTTGCTCAGCCACTGGGCACCCCCTCCCTGGGTCCTGACCCAAGCTCTCACCTCTCCTCAAATGTCCACCCCACCCTCACCCATCTAAAGACTTAAGCCAAACAGAGATACCCCAAGTCTCACTCACCTCGCTGCAGGCGTCCATCACAGGGAGGACCCAGGGCGGGGGTGGAAGGGGGAGAGCAGAAGACAGAGTGAGAACAATGCATTTCACACACTGGGCAGCAGACCCCAGGAACAAGCTGGGGCAGGGGTGCCGTGACAGTGCCCGGAAAGGAATCAGACATCACGCGGTGGGGCTAGTTTGAGGATCAGCAGAAGGGAAAAAACCCACCAGCCCTTTGAGCTACTGGAGGGCCTTGCTGGGAAGCACCAGCCACTGTACGCTGGGAAGGATGGAGGGTCCCCGTGGGATCCCGAGTGGGCGTGTGGGTCCCCTCCCAAAGCTTTGTTCATCTACTGGGCAATGGTAATTCGTGGCCTGGCTGCAGTGCAGACAGACTCTGAGACACAGGCCAAAAGGTCTTCCCAAGACAACCCGGGGCGAATTCTGCTCAAAACCTGGGAGGACACGTGGTGAGGCTGGGCGCCCAGCACTCAGGACCAACCCTGTCTGAGGATCTGGTGATCCGGAGAGCTGCTCGGGGACTGAACAGACGGTCCCTAACTACGGGTGAACAGACGGTCCCTAACTACGGGCTGAAATCCGCAGCGAAGGGACCGACCTGGAGCCCCGGGGGAGAGGACTACTTACACCTCAGGCATGGCGTCAGGGGGCAGCACCTGGGGGCGGGAGGGGTCGTTAATGAGGGAAGGTTCCGGTTCTGCCCCACCCCCACCTAGCTGGCCCTTTCTAGAAGTTTGCCGACGCCCGTGGGGAACAGAATGGGACCCACAGAAGGTATGTTTGGAGGGCAGGGCTCAGATGCGGGGCCTTGAACAATGGCTGAGTCTAGCCGGTCCCGTGGACAGTGGGTGGTCATGGGGGTCTCGGAGAGGGGAGGGGTCTGGGAGACTGATGACAGCCCACAGGCGCCACCACATGGCACAACTCCAGGGGCGCCGTTCCCGTGGACCTTGGGGGGAGGGGACTGGCGGTGAGGAGGCCCTGCAGGGAGGGGTGAGCCGGGAGGCGGGGCAGACCCCCTGTCCCACGCCAACCTTTCCCCAGGCCCTCTCCTAGCCGGCTTTCCTCTCTGCAAAACGAGGAGTTAAAGAACTTGTTTTCCACTTGATATCTGGGGCTTGAACCCTTCATTCAAACCAAGTGCAACCAGCAAGAGCCACCGGCCCTGGTGCGAGAGGGTTAGCACAGCAGCCCCGTGGACCTCCACGAGGTCCTCTGCCCACCGAGCACAGTTTGCAGCCCCCTGGCTGATGGCCCTGCGGCCCAGACCGAGGAGGGGTTCCTGCAGCTGTAGAGGCGGCTGTTCCAAAGTCAGGCCTGACCACCATCGGGCCTAGACAAAGAGCATTCCAGTGGAGGGGGTGGGACTGGGCAAAAGATCCCCGCAGGGAGGAGGGCAGCTGGGGTGGAGCAGGTGCAAGCGGCAGGAACCCTGAGCCGGGTTGTGAAGCGAAGCACGGGGGCGGGGGGCGTTGGGTGCGGGGAGGCTGAGCGCAGGGTCAGGAGTTGGATTTGGTCCAGGAACCTGGCCTGAGTCGGGGAGGGAGGCCGACTCTAAAGGACTCGTGCAAAGTGGCCACAGTCCCCTCACTCCAGAGCCACCTCCGCCTGTCTTGACCTCCCTCTCCCCTCGTGGCCCAAGGCATGGGTGAGGCTGGACTTCCTCTCCCGTCCCCCCAGCTGAAAGCCTTCACTCGTCCCACCCCCGCCTCTGCCCCAGGGGAGGGCGAGGCTGGGTGGGGGAGGGGGAGAGAGGGTGTGGCCCCAGCGCCTCAGCCGCCACCCTGGACCCAGAGAGGAGGAAGTCCTCGCATTCCCGAGATGCTTGGCTGAAATTCGATTGTATCGCCCGCTGTTTATTCTAGGGCTTGGCTGCCTTGAAGACACAGAGGGAGTCCAAAGAGAGAAGGCCACGGTGGCGGGGGGGGGTGGGGACGCCACCCAGGTCCAGTTTCCATCATCAGCCCCGCAGTGCGGTCCCCAGAGGGCACAGGGCTCAGCCCCTGGTGGGCATCTGGTCAGGTCCAGGCCTCCCGCTTGGTGCCTGCTACCTGTCCAGCCCGTCCAGGCCTCCTGCCCAGCTCCAGGCCCCCCCACAGCCTGCCCCGCTGACAAACGCCAGGCCCTGGGTCTCGGCCTGCGCTCTGACACCCACCAGACGGGACCCCTTGACAGGCCCCCTGGAAGACAAGCAGGTGGTGATAAGAAGTCAGATGTAGACATGGCTCTAGCGGTGAGGGGGGGGAGCTGCAGGAAAGAAGAGATAACAGAACCCACTGAGGGGGGCTGGGGGGCCCTCCCCTGAGGCCCCATGGGTGGGGCAGAATGTCAGCTGGACCATGAGACCAAGGTGTGTCCGTGTGTAAAAGTGTCGTGTGTGTGTGTGTGTGTGTGGAAAGAAGAACCAACTTCTGCACACACCTGACAATTCAGGTCACAGATTTCTCATCAGGCTCATGTTCCTCCCGTGCTCCCTACCCCCTGACCTTGGACCCCAGTTCAAGGGCATCCAGGTCCTCCCTGACTGACCGTGAACAAGGTTTGTGCTCCCAGGGCTGTGGTTGTGGGACCTCCACCCCACCCCGCCCTGAGCTCTGAACAGAAAGCCCCCCTAGAGGTGCTGGGGACAGTCTCCCGCCTCTAGCCCCCGACCCGTTAGAGAGCCCCCACCCCAAAGCCCAGCCCGGGCCTCACTGATGTGTTCACAGAATCTCACATTCCAAACCCGATGCTGCCTCCGCCTCCCCCAGGACCCCCACCTCGACATGACCTCCACTCCAGAACAAGGCATGTGGGGGTGCCCCCCCGCCGCGGGGTTGGCGCTCTGCCCACCACGCCCCTGTCTGCTGGCCAGCAAAGGGTGCCAAGTGAATCCCTCAGAGACAAAGAACAAAGGGGCAGGGCGGTCTCCTAGGGCGGCGGTGGGGGGTCCAGGCTCCCTCCCCGAGTCCTGCCCGCAGACCTCCCTTCTCCTCCCCACTCGCACTGCTCACCAGCTCTCCCTCAAGTTCCAGATGCAGCCCCCTGCCCCCTCTGGTCCCCGATGCCACCCCTTCCCTCAGGAACCCTCCCCCTCCGGGACTGGCCGGGCAGCCGGTGTGAGCCAAGACCCGCTAGGCGCTGCCCTGGGGCTCCTTGGGCAGCCCGTGGACGACTCCGCGCACGGCTCCCAGTCTCAAAACGGGCAGGAGCTTCACCTCCAACCAGTTTTGCAGGAGAGATGCCGCCTTGCCGTAGGTGTCTTAGGACTGTTCCCCCAGCAAACCCTGCTGCACCTCCCGAGCTGCCTTCTGCCACCTGCACGCCCTGGCTTGCCCCTGGGTCTGGAGCCCAGGCGCTCTGCCGGGTGCAGACACCTACCTTCCTCAGGCTCCGGGAGTGAGGCTGGCCTCGTCTCGCAGCTGACTGCGGACTGCTGGGGGCAGAGCCGAGGGGAGGCTATGAAAGCTACCGCCCGCAGCCACTGGCCAGTAAAAATAGAACAGGCCCGCCACCCCTCCCACTGCCCTGCTCCCCCCACACCCCACCACACACACACCTCACGGAGGGGACACCTCATGGAGGGGACGCCGCGGTGCACGCAGCAGCCAGCGGGCTTGAAGACACCCTGAGTCGTGCCCCAGGCTCAGGAGGACACACAGAGCCTGTGCACACAGCAGCCACCACCTAGGAGACGGGAGTCCAAGAAAGAGGGGGTGGGCAGCAGATCAGAGGGGGCCCTGAGCAGGGAAGCGGCCGGGGCACTGGGAGGCCTGGGGGCAGCAGAGCTGGGGAAAGGAGTCATCTCACTGGCCCTACATCTGCCGCAAGGAAACGTGGCAACCAGGCCCCCCACCAGTGCTCCAAGAGGGCGAAAGTCCTGAGGCTGGGGCATCCTCTAGGCCTGGTACACATGCGCCAGGGGCATGCCTGCACCCGGGGGTGATGTAAGCAGTGCCTTGGGGGTCCAGCGAGGCTGTGGAGCTGACCTGACCTCCACGCCCACAGGGTCTGAGGGTCTGCAGTTGCTCTGCAGCCTCTCCAGGTGGGTTTCGCAGGTTCCAAGGGCACCCCAGGCCCGTGCCTGGGACCTGGGGAGACTAAGGCCCCTCTCCTCGGCCCAGGCTCTGTGCCCGGCATCCAGGGAGCCGGAGCCGGGGCTGCACCTGTTTACCGGCTATTTTTAGGACAGGAGACAAACAGCTAATACCCACCCTGCGGTCAGGAGAAGACAATGCCCGCTATGTTAATCCAGTGACTTATTGTTGGTCAGCTCGGGAGCCAGGAGTCCAGGCGGGGGCGGGGCAGGCAGAGCACTGACCCCTCTCAAGGCCATGCTCCTGTTGAGCGGGGACAGAGCTGGTGGATGAGGGTGTCCTCAGGGGACATACCCACAGTTCCACGGGGGTGGGGGGCTCCGAGAGTGAGGCGGGCCTTGCTTGCAGCTGACTGCAGACGGTGGGGGCAGCGCCGAGGGGAGGCTCTGGCCTCTGGACCAGCAGATGTGGCTCTAACTGGGCTCCGGTCAGGTCACCTTTGGGAAGCTCCGTGCTGGAAGGCAGCCAGAGCAGGGTCTGGGAAGCTCTGGGGGTGAGGGGCACAGATTCCAGGCCGAGGGGCTGGGGTGGAGAATGAACTTGGGCCCCAGACACGGAGCCGCTGGGATCAGAGAGGGAGTCTGGGAGCCAGGACGAGTTCGCTGGAGTTCACTGCACGGGCTGATTACGTTTATAGTTTGTGCAACAGCTTTCTTACAAAATCTTACTACGCACAAAAACGGAACAAATCATGCGCGTGGATTAACCCACTTTTTGAAAGGGAAGAGCCCAGAGTACAGACCGACCAGTAGGTGAGCAGAAGCAGGTGCTGAGGGCATGCAGCGCAGCGGCCGAGGAGGCCGACAGAGGCCCCAAGGGGCCTGCGACTCCGCCGCGGGGTCTGTGCTTCACCTGAGTCACTGCTGGGGAGCTGGCGGGGCGACCACGAGCTCATTTTAGGAAGAAGGTTCAGGCAGCCGCGGGGGCCTGGAAAGACTGCCGTGAAGCTAACAAAACGGGGCGGCAGGAGCGGGGATGGCAGAGGGGAGGGCAGATGGGGAACCAGGCAGGGCGCTCGGCTGGCCGTGGGGGCGGGGCCCTCGGGTGTCCGGTTGGCACCCGTGGACTGGTCCAGAGCTAACGTCCCCTGCCAAGTTCTGAGCAGAGGTGAGGCGGGGGCTGGAGGCAGAGAGCAGAAGGAACAAAGAACTGAAAAGCAGCCACCCGCGCCTCAGTTTCCTGCCACAAACCAGCCTCCCCATCCAGGCCTGCACATTAGAGACTCGGCCAGTGGACCCCCAGCCTCGGGACAGGCGGCTCCGCCTCACACAGCAACACTCACCAGGGGCTTCTGGGCCTCCGTGTCCTCACCTGTGAAAGGGAGGTGAAGGTCGGCACATGCCCTCAGCTCCGGACACACGACCATGCGAAGCTCCCGGGGCCACAGAGGCTTCTCAGAAGGCCCTTCTCTCCCAAGCGTCAGTGGAGCATTGCCTCCTCCAGGAAGCCTGCCCCGACCACCCTGCCTGCACGAGGAGCCCTCCCCAGCCCCTATGCAACCCTCTTTCCCTGCACTTAACCCGCAAGGCTGACATCTGTTTACTCTTCTGGAGAAGCCTGAGTGTTGGCCCAGCCCTACTCCTGTCTTCCCACACAGCGCCTGACACACAGCGCCTGACACACAGCAGGTGCTCGACCAATGCTCATGGAACAAACGACAGATGGAAACACGGAGAGGAGGCTTCCGACCAGAGACAGTGCAGGAGATCGCCCCTCAGGGCTCAGGAGAGATCCTGCCTGTCCCCTGGGTCCTGGAATGAAGGCAGGGTGCCCATGGCTGGGGCCACAGGGGAAGGGCCAGCTCGGGAGCCGTCCTGTTCAAGTTCTTGGCACCTGGAGGGTCCAGGCACACTGCCCACCCTCCACCCTCCACCCCTCCCCAGGAAGGGGCAGACACAGCCTCTCTCTGACCTTGACTTAGGTGACGACCCGCTCTCCCCTCCAACGATGAGCTCAGACGCACATAGAAACAGCAGCTGGGCAGCTGGGCTTTGTTGACATGAAACTGAGCCCCTTGGATGTCTCTGTGAGCTGTGACCACCCCGTGCCCAGGCCGGGGCCAGGAATGCTGGGGAAGCAGGTGCCAATGCAGACAGAGGGCCCTGCAGCGTCTGGGGAGCACCCAGCCTCCCTGCCCCCTCCTTCATCTGGGGAGCACCTCCGTCCAGGGAGCACCTCCCTCCGGGCCCCACATCTCACCCTCTCTGTCCACCCGTCCCCACCTGGTGATGACTTTGCAGGCTCCCTGGGGAGGATCTGGCCAGGAAGGGGCCCCTCCATCAGCGGTTCTACAAGACCCTGCCAGGGCGAGATGACCCCCCTGAAGCCCTGCACCCGCACCAGGGCCAGGACCCACGGGGCCAAGGGCTGGGGGGCAGCTGCCAGGAAGCGGAGGGCCCCCCCCGTGTCCCTCCCAGTGCAGTCGTCCTGCCAAAGGTCTGCTCACACCTCCATCCACGTCTCTCTCCTTGTCAGAGGGGTTGCCTGTAGGAGGGTCCACACCCTCCACTGGCTCCCTGTGGGTCCAGCAGGGGACATGGTCCCATAGACACAGAACTGCACCCAATGGGAACCAGAAGGAGAGGTGGGAAACCAG